ACGACAGGAGGGGGGGCTCTCCTGGAGGCCCATCCTCCTCCCCAGGCTGCCTGGGAGGCCTTTGGCATGCCCTTGGGCATGGCCTTGCTCAGCAATGGCAGCTTTAGGCGAGGGACAGACACCTGCAGAGACGGTCCAGATGGTGGTTTTAAGAGACCCTGCTCTTTCATCAGCCCAGGGGTAGGCACACGGCCTTTTATTTGATGGCTACCCTTTCAGTCGTCTGCGTGAGGCACAGTGATATAAAAGAACTGTGATATGCTTCCTTTGTGCCAGACTTCACAATTTTTTTTAAATGAAGAAAACAGGCCCCGACATGTGTCCTCTTGAAAAATGGACACTGCGGCCTCATCCTCAAGCAGCTGGCTGGTCCGGGCAGGGCTGCTCAGGTGCACCGAGCAGTGGGCGGCCAGGGGTCCCAGCAGGAGCTACCGCTCGGCTCTGAAACAGGAGCTGTGCGGACTCTGGGTCCGAGAGAGCGCCCAGGCGGTCCGGGCAGAGCAGGTGCGGGCCTCTGGCCAGTGGACAGGGAAACTCACTGCCCTGTTGCTCCCTTCAGGCAGGCAATGGGGCCGGAGCCAAGCCTGCGGACGTCTTGGACGTCTTGACTCAGTATCGAGGCCTGTCCTGGAGGTGAGTATGGGGGTGGCAGGCCCTGAAGACCTCTCCTGGCAGGGCCGGGAGGAACCCCGGGCATCGTAGAAAACCACCTTGTACTTTTCATGAGAAACTTCTGGGTTTGATTCGAGGAAGGTATTCATCAGCTTCCCCAAACCACTGCATTTCCCAAAGCGGGGCCTGGGACCAGGAGGAGCTTGGGGGAGACACTGCGTAAACGTTTGGGGTGGAAAAGCTTCTCTGGCTTCCATTTCTCCCCGTGGGAACTAATCCCAGAAGGAGGCAGTGGGTCTTTGGAACCAGAGTGTGTCTGGAACCCTGGCTGCCCAGCTCTGTGCAACTTTGGGCAAGTTGCTTAACCTCTCTGAGCTTGTCTCCTCATCTTTGACGCGGGGATAATAATACTGCCTGAGCACTGTCGCGAGGATTAGAGAGAACTGAAGCTCCCCAGCACAGTGCCTGGCACAAAGTAGGTATAAATGGCAGCTGGCATCCTTATTAAAGGGCCTTCGGTGTACAGATGAGGAAGCAAAGCTCAGAGAAGACAAGTAACCTGTCCAAGATCACACAGCCAGGTGGTATAAGAGCGAGAAGTAGAGTAGATGCTTGTTGGCACCTAGCATGGTGGCTTCCCCCATTGCTTCCCATTCAGCAGGCTTGTTCCTGCCCTGGCTGTTATAAAATCCGAGCAGCAGGGCCTGACCTCTGAGCCTTGAACGCAGGAGAGCACAGGTCTGGGAGTTCCTCAGCCTGGAATCTGGCCTCCCTGGCACCAGCTGGTGTTGAATCCCTGGCATTGTTGCTCGTGATGCTGCACAGAGTTAAACCCCACCCACTTTGAGAGCCTTTTAAATGTTCCCAGGCGTACTTGGCAGAGAAAGAAGGAATATGGAAAGCAGGGAATCCAATAAGCTCTGGAATGTTGCATGTTTTCATGCCTAGAAACTTTTATTTCCCCAGAATTTTAGAAGTGCTCGGAAGCTGGGTTGCTCTCTAGATTCAGACACCCTTGGAAAACGGGTTTGCCCAAGCCCAAGGGGAAGAGAACGACCAGGGCAACCCTTTTCACTGTGTTTTCAGTAATAATAGCAATGCCCCGCCAGTGGCTAGTGGGGCAGGACTGGAGTTGGGGAGAAGGGGCGTCCACTTGGAACCCTGCCCCCATGTCAACATTCCAAGTTAAAATCGACAAAGTCAGCCATGACCGTTTCTTGTTTAGATGTTCAGGTTTGTGGGGAGAGGGGAGAGGCATTGCTGTATTCTGGTTTGTTTTTCAAGGTTTTTTACGGAAATCATAAGTAAAAGACAGGCTCCAAGCCCCCAGGGTGTTTCTCAAAAGGTGAAAGGTCTGTCTTGGTAGCGTCTGGGGTGTTTTGGCATCGCTGGCTTTTTCAACCTTCATTTTCTTTTTTTATTCCCACAACAGCGTGGGCGGCGATGGGAACGTCAGCAGCGTCACCACCCTGGCCAGTGAGTACTCGCTCCCCCAGGGGTTTCGGGCGGGCGTGCAGTCACCCTGCGCGTGTCTTCAGCGCCCCCTGGTGGCGGCCTCGGGCTTAGCAGAGGACTGGGTGGCAGGAGGCAGCCGCATTCGGCAGGGGGCGCTGCTTCCCCGATGTGGTCGCCTTGCTTTGCTTCTTGAGAGTGATAAAAGCTGGGAGGTGGTTTTTCTTTTCTTTTGAGAAATTGTACTATTTGTCCAAGGAAGAGAACACGAGAGAAAAAGAGATCTCAGGACAAATCTTAGTGCAAGTCATTGTTAAGAAATGATTCAAGAAAGAAGGAAAGGAAACCCATCTCTGCTATGCCTGTCATTCTGAGCAGAGCACCTTTCGCTCAGGCATTGATCTGGGCTTGGGCTGCATTAGGCACCACTGCATGCAGACATTGCCTGCCTGTGTGCGGCTTTAGGAAACGCGTATTGCAGCGGTAATAAAGACGTTACCTCGCTCAGGCTATGCGAACACAGTCGCACTTGGAGCTTGAAGTTTTCTTTAAATTATTTCACCCACAACCTGCTTGCAATGATGTGTTAAAGCCTGACTAGGTTCTCTGAAAACCTTGTCTTATTCATCTTTTTATTCCCCTTTGTGTGTGCACATCACTGTGCTTGTTCTTAAAGACACATGCAATAAATGTTAAAAATGAATTTTTCCCCTTAAAACCTATAGCTAATAATTATACCTGAGAGGAATTTCATCGGTCCCGTTCTCATTTACTCTTCTTGTAATATAGCCCTTTGTAATCTATCTTTAGAAGCTAGGAAGTTATTTGAGCTCTAGATCACTAAGAATCTGTGATAGGGATTGCTTAATCTCCACATAGGCAGGGCTGATTGCGCTTCACATTTGTTATCTGTTTTTGCTATTTATAAATCCTGTTGAACTTAAGTAGGTACAGTTCTATGGCACAGGGACTCCCTGTCTTCTTTATTTCTAGATCTATACACAAGAGCTATAAATCATCTCCCTATTGCTAGGAGATGGTTTGGGTTGCTTTTGTAAGTGTGATTGACTGGCTATGAGCTGGCCCAGCCTATACAATACTTTGCTGGGCTCTCTGATTACCATGGTATTATCATGGATAACATGATTGAAAATCAACAGGCTCAAGAGCTTTCACCAAAGTGACTTACAAAGGATTGAGACTATGTCACCCCTCTGGTGGACTCTCCTGACACACTTAGCCTATGCGAAGGCTATTCAATGGGGGGGGGGGGGGGAGAAATAGTCCTTTCAATATATGGTACTGGGACAACTGGACAGCTACACGCAAAGGATGACGTTAGAGCCCTACCTCACACCATACACAAAAATCAACTCAAAATGAAATACAGACCTAAATGTAAACGCCAAAACTAACTCTTAGAAGAAGATAGAGGAGCAAATCTTCATGACTCTAGGTTAAACAAAACCTTTTTAGATATGGCACCAAAAGCACAAGTGACAAAAAGAAAAAGAAAAAATAAATATATTGGACAAAAATTAAACACGTTTGTGTTTCAAAGGGAAAAGACAGCCCAAAGAAAGTAAAAGACAACCCAAAAAGTGGGAGAAAATATTTGCAAGTTATATATTTGATAAGAAACTGTATCTAGAAAATATAAAGAACTCTTATAACTTGGCAATAAAAAGACAACCCAATTAAAAATGGGCAAAGGCAACACTATGGACATTTTTAATACCATTGAACTGTACACTTAAAAATGGTTAAGATGGTAAATTTTATGTTACCACAATTTTTAAAAATGGGCAAAGGATTTTAATCCACATTTCTCAAAAAAAAAAAAAGATATACAAGTGTAATAAGCATCTGAAAAGATACTCGATATCAGTGACTGTCAATGCAAATCAAACCACACCATTTCACATCCACCAGAATGGCTATAGTAAAAATACAGCAAATAATAATAAGTATTTGTGAGGATGTGCAGAAACTGAAACCCTCATATTACTGGAACATAAGATGGTACAACATCATTGGAAAAAGCTCTGTAAGTTTTTCAAAAGAGTAAACAGATATCCAGCAATTCTACTCCTAAGTATATGCCCAAGAAAATTCGAGGCAAAACTTGTACATAAATGTTTGTAGCTGCATTATTTGCAATAGCCAAAAAAGTGGAAATATCCAGGTGTTCTTCAGCTCATGAATGAACAGATAAAATGTGGCCTGTCTGTACAATGGGATATTATTTGGCCGTAGAAAGGAATGAAGTGCTGACACCTGCTATATCGTGGGTGAACATTGAAAACATTATACTAAATGAAAGAAGCCAGCCACAAAAGACCTATTGTATTGTATGATTCCTTTTATATGAAATGTCCAGAATAAGTACAATTGTATAGAGAGAAAATAGATTAATGGCTGCCGTGGGTTGGAGGGAATGGAGAGTGACTGGAGGGAGTGGAGGGTTTCACTTTGGGGTGATGGGTACAGGGTTTCATTTTGGGGTGATGAAAATGGTCTAAGGTTGATTGTGGTAATAGATGCACAACCTCACTATAGTTTAAAAAAAAACTATGAACAAATTCCTATGCACACTGCACATATCTTATTTTGAAGTAAAAAAACAAAATGGGAACAAATACAATATTTGTATTTGCATGTGGCCCGCGGGCCGTAGTTTGAGGACCCCTGCTATAAATGGTGTGTGAATTATCTCCATAAAGTTATATGTTGGCGGGGGAGGCAAATGCATGAGAGAAGCACTACTCAGACTCACATTTATTCAACAATAATTCATTAAGTAGCTGGGTGTGCTGCCCAGGCTCTGCTTGGCCCTGAATACCCACTGGCGCTTATTAGAGGAATTTAAACATTGCTTTGTGGTCTCCTGAGCATGTCTCTTCCTTGTATTTCCAGATATCCTCCGGGAATTCAACCCTTCCCTGACGGGCTTTTCTGTTGGCACTGGGAAACAAGACAGCCCTGGGGCCTTCCTAAACCAGGCTGTGGCCGGAGCCCGAGCCGTGTGAGCAGGGGAGCCCGGGGGTGAACGCACAGGTCCTCTGGGGACCTCGTTGGGGGCTTGGCCGAGACTGGGATATATGACAGCTGGGGAGGTTGGTCCAGGGGGAGGGTCTGAGGGTCAAAGACTGGACAAGATGGGCTCTCTTGGGGTGTCCCTTGCTGTGGGACACAGAAAGCTGCTAGCCTACCTCCAACTCCATCCCAGGAACGAGTCACAGTTGACTCTGATGCCAGGTATATGCTTTGAGCAAATTCCTTTCCTCCTCTGTGAATCTCATGTCCACATAAGACAGTGACCAGAGGAGGGTTCTCTCTAAGGTTCCGTTTTTCTTATTTTATTCATCTTTCATGCCCTCTTCTCCGTCCCTTCCTCAGACATGTTTTTCAGACATGCTTTCCAGGCTCTGGGCTTTGCAGGCCTATGTCAGGGAGGCACCCTGGAAAGAAACCTTAGCCATCGGCGTAACCCAAACGGAGTGTGATTTCTTCCCCGCTTCCCCAGAGGCCTAGGGGCTCTTTCGTGCCAGGAATCCATTTGCCCGAGCACATCCTGAGTTGTAGAGAAGAGTTAGAGGTTGTTATTCCCGTATCACAGAAACGGGAGCACAAAGAGGCCAAGCGGCCTGGACAGATGCATCGTCTCGATGACATGGCCTGGTGGCTTTGTGCCTGCAGGGTTGTCCCGGGTTTGATAATCACCCCTTATACCCGTACAGCAGTGCACCAGTCACACGGTGCCTCTGTTTCTCTTATTCCATGTGTTCCGTACAGTAACTATGAGAGGTACAAAGCAGAGGGTCAGAAACCCATGTTTTCTTAATAATGATACTGAGACTCAGAGAGGTCAGTGAATCACCCCAAACTCTGGCCCCACATCTGATAACTTCAGACGCACAGATGAGGAAATCGGGCCTCAAAGAGGTTACCTGGCTTACCCAGAATTCCTACCCAGGCTGACTGGTACCTAATCTATAGTGACTAAGACCAGGCCAGTTGGGCTAGTAGCTGAGAGGAGGAGGAAGACAGCTCCTGTTTCCTGCTAGGCCCTGTGCCAGGGACTTTATTGGTGGTAATGGTGATGATGAGGTACACATATTTCAGTGGATTCTGTATAATATGGACGCTCACCATGTGCTGTTCTGAGCTCTCTATGGGCACCGTATTTAGTCTGCCCAGCAACGCTGTGAAGAAGGTATGCTTACCACCCCTTCTTACAAAGGAAGGAACTGAGGGTGGGCAAGGCAAGTACTAGCCAAGGTCTCAGAGCTGGCCAGTGGTGGGACCAGCACTCAAACGCATGCTGCCTGGCACTCGTGAGGGCTCTTCCTCCACGGGGCGGCTTTGACCATCTCACTCACTACTCCCAGTGACCCTCTAAGATTTGGGATTTGTCTCCATGTTTGCAGGTTTTTTGTTTTGTTGTTTTTGTTTTTGTTTTTAACTAGGAAAATAAGTCACATTCCTACAGTTAGCAAGAGGTAACTAAATGTCAAACCCAGATGTGTCTGGCTCAGCTATGTCACCTTGAGGGCGAGGGCCCTTTGAGGCTGAGGTCACGGCAAGAGCCATGCATGACACGAAACGCTCACATGCAGCCTCCGTTCGCCCTGAGTGAGCCTGGCTGGGGAGACAGAGTGTGTAATCCAATATGCCAATCAGGAGACAAGTCCACCAGCAGTCGCCGCCTCATCTGTGAAGTGTTCCGCTCATCCATAGACAGGACGCCCCACCCCACCCCCAGCATGGCCTTCAGTCCAACTTTCCTGCTGTTTCTTTTATTCCTGTCCTCTGCCAAGTCCCCTCCCAGCCCAGCTTCACAGTCCCAGCTTCTCACATGACTTCTTCCTGGGTCTGCCCGCAGGGATTTACCTGATCAGGCCAGGAGGCTGGTGGGCCTGATGAAGAATGACACGGTGAGTCTGGGGGAGGAGCCACCTGGGGCCACTTGAGGTCAGACTCCCCAGAACAGGGGCTGGGCGGGAGAAATCCATGGAAACAGAGAGAGTCGGCTTAGGGGGAGGACCCGGCCACGTGGAAGTCCAGAAAGTCCACCTTTTGAAAAAAAAACCCCAATGATTTAGCACCTACAACCTGTGACCTATGACCTCAGGACCCCAAAACCAAAGAATAGGAAACATCAGTGTCCTCTAAACCCTGTGGTGTGTGAGGACCCATCCCTGACAGTGTTCAGCATTTGCATTTTCCTTGATTTGACTCTGGGGTAAGGCATTTACTGGTTTGTTTTCTATTCATTTCAGAAGATAAATTTCCAGGAAGATTGGAAGGTTATAACCCTATTTATAGGCGGCAATGACCTCTGTGATTTCTGCAATGATCCGGTAGGTCCCAGGCCCTTAACTCAAAGCCTCCCCCCTCATCCCCCCCTCCCCTGGACGGATTTCCATTCCAGGTGCCTGGAGCAGTGCCGTTGGGTTGGGATTTGGGGCTTGAGGTCTGGCATGGATCCAACCTGGGAATAACCCCCAGACCGAGAGGGCATTTACCTCCAGGATGAGATTTCAACAGGACGAGCAGCACTGCCAATGAGGTGAATCCTGATCAGGTTTTCTGTCGAGGGAGCCTGATCCTATCATTCTAGAAACCAAGATAACATTCCAATGCTCCCAAAAAACCTGGCATCTCTTCATAGATCATTGTAAGTCAGCTCCTTTCTCCAATGCTGAGCTGCCTCGCCATCTCCGCCTCTGTGCTGCCACTTGTATGGGAAAGTTGATTTCCTAATGCAGGCACTTGGGCAAAGTTCAGAGCCCAGTCATTCTGGGCTGATGGGAAACCCAGGGGCCAGGCGGCTACCCTGTGGGTTCGGTGCTTCTTCCTGGGCTCCCAGATTCTCTGAGCTCGAAGAAACCCCACAAGCCATCCTGGCCAGTCTCCACCCACAACAAAAATGCCTTTCGCAGAATCCAGTTGTTGAACATTTCCAGTGATGGGCAGCTTTTTAACTTGTAAGGTAGCCCTGACTAGTATCCTGAGTCGGTGTAAATTGCTTTACGGTGTTTCTTTGTGTTGAGCCCAAATCTACCTGGTGATGTCTGCCTATATGGGCAGGCCTCTTCTACACTCAATTCAGTTGACTTTATTTTAAGTAGGTTTTTTAAAAATTATTATGCAAGTAATACACACAGAAAACATATCAAAGTACAGAGAAAATAATATTCTCTGTAATATATTTACAACATCCAGAAATGCCGTTTGTTAACATTTTGATATGTGTCTAGCATTTTCTGTAAATATATGGAGAAAATGCTTTCTTGTTTTCTAAAACTGGTATCAACCTGAAAATATTGTTTGGTAACCTGCTTTTTTTCAACAGCAACACATTAGGAAGATATTCGCATATCAACGTTTAATTTTTAGTTGCCATATAGTAGCCCATAATATAGATTGGCCGTAATTGGGTACTTAGCTTACATTACTTCTAATTAGGCCTATTATAAATAACACCAGGATAAACAACCATCTTTATCTCCATCCACAACTATTTCCTGGTGTATATTCTGAGTAGTAAGCTCTCTAAGCAAAAAGATATGTATATTTCCCCCCATGTTTTATTATGAAAATTTCCAAACATGCTGAGAAGCTGAAAGACTGGTGCAGTAAGTGCCCGTACACCCACCACAGAGACTGTACAGTTGTTAATATTGTGCCACATTAACATATACCTATCCATCTATCTCATTTTGGGGTGACTCAGCACATTTTTGAAGCTTTGTGTACATATTGCCAAATGGCTCCCAGAATGTTTATACCAATTATGCCTATTTCTCCCCATTCCAACCGGCAATGTATGTTATTTAATAACTGCTAATCTGATAAATGAAAAAATTGTATCGTTTTCAAATTTTGCATTTATTTACTTTCTAGGTAGGAATACATTTTTATTTCCTTTGTTTGAATCTCTCCTTTTGATAAATTCTATATTATGCCTTTTGGCCATTTTCTGTTAAGGCATTTATCTTTCTTTATTGATTTACAAAAACCCCTTATATCAAGTATACTAACCCCTTTTCAAATACATTGCCTATTTGTTGCCTCCCATTTAGCTTTGTTTACAGTATTTTCTGATAAACGGGACTTTTTTTTTTTATTTCTAGTATCATTTGCCTGGCACGTATTATATGCCAGGCACGGTACTAGGAGCTAAGCAGACAAGTGAAAACACAGGCTCTGTCCTCAAGAAATTCACATCGTCAGGGGAGGGAGACACAGACAACTCACCATAACACGATGAGGAAACCCCGTGTGTGGTTCTGGTGATACACTGAAGGCAGAACTGCCCTCGAAACTGGGAATTTGCCGTGGGGGTGGGAGGAGTGTCAGAGTTCACACAGAGTAGGAGACTTCCCAGCTGGCACTGAAGTCTAGGACATTTGTCAGGCAGAAAAGGGACCCGCTGAGCAAAATTTAGGAAGTGGTGAGTCTTGCGGGTGACCCTGCTCCCCAGGCCCCTCCTTTCCTGGCATCAAAGTCACCGGGGTTGGGGTTTTCAAGCTATGGTGTAAGGGGCCCACAGCGGAGCCCTGGGGCTCTGGGGCCGGTGGGGAGGTGGAATCATGGGCCCCCCACCACTTCCCTGCAACTTTAATCTGTTTGATAGAGCAAGGCTTTTGGTTAGACTTCATTCAGAAAGGATGCCACTGCTTTAAAAAGGTTTAAGAACCACATCGAAATCAAGAGAAATAACCATTAAAGTGTGTTCATGCTTGGGAGAGGGCTTCACGGGACCCTCTTCCCCTCCTTTGTCTCCTCGAGTGATTTGACTGGGCTGTGGGTTCCCCGGCACATGAGGCCGGGTGGGGAACCTTTTCTCTGCCATGAGCCATTTGGATATTTATAACATCATTGGCAGGCCATACACAATTAGCAGCTTAAAAATTGGCCGGCTGTCTTTGGTCAAACATTTAATTAACTCACCCCTAATGCCTTGGCAGGGCCAGACCAAATGATTTCTCGGGCCTTATATGGCCCTCGGACAGAACCTTCCCCACCCCTGCTTAAGCAGAAGAGGTCAGGGCAGAGGCCCAGAGGATGTGCAAGCTGCAGGGGCTCTTGGAGGTCCTCTGCTCCAACACCCCAGTTTAGAGGGACCCGGAGATGGGCTGGGCCTTAGCGAAGGCCCTGCATCGAGTTGACAGGAAGTGGACCCAGAGCTTTCCATCGCTCCACGCAGGAGAAAGGGTGCTTCCCGCGTAAAAGAAAGGGGTCCCGGCCACGATCAGCCTGCGGGCTGTAGGGTTGGTGTGGAGGCTGAGGGCCCCAAGGCAAACCCGTGCTCCCGTGTTGCCCATTCTGGCTGAAATATAGGAAGGAGGGGACCCGAGAGAAGAAGCCGCCCTGGTCTGCGTAGAGATTGGGTGACGAATGGTCTTAGATGTTTCCTCTTCCTGCAGGCCCACTATTCCCCCCAGAACTTCACGGACAACATTGGGAAGGCTCTGGACATCCTCCACGCCGAGGTACCAGGGCCGGGTCACAGGGCCTCTGAGCAGCTCAACCACAGTTCCCCTCGGGCCTCAGACTAGCCGGGAGGCGGCTCTGGCTTCTGGCTGAGGTGCCTTTTCCGGGTGCCTTTACCCGGAGACCAGCACGACCATGCTGTCAGTCCTGGTCCCAGCGGCCTGAACACATGGGTGTCGATGCGGAGGAGGAGGGAGAGGCGGGGATGAAGGAAGTGGATGGGGCCAGATGGAAGGCCATGGACCTGACAGCCCACAGGGGGACTGCCCGGCCTCCAGCCTCTCAGGGGCTGGTCTTGCCTTTGCTCAGGTGCCTCGGGCGTTTGTGAATCTGGTGAAGGTGCTGCAGATCGTCAACCTGAGGGAGCTGTACTATGAGAAGAAAGTCTACTGCCCCAGGCTGATCCTCAGGTGAGCTCCTACTCCTGTGCCTGAAAGGGCCATAGCACCCCGAGCAGAAAGTGACTCTGATGAGTTAGGAAAGCCGAGGGCAGTGTGAGGAGTGCCAGGCCCGCCCCAATTTCTAACCTGACGAGGTCTAATGGAGGAGACTTATGACCCCAGTTTAGAGCTCAGCTCCCCTTGGAATATGCATTTGCATCCCAGCATGCTTCTGCTGTCATGGCAGCTCAGAACACCCTCCATCCGCCAGGGAGGGAAGAGTTGAGCATGAGGCACGAAGGGGCCTGTGTGGGCCAGGCTCAATGGGCTCTGCGAGGGCCTACTTTTAAGTGTCTGCAGAGCTCCCCCTCCCCCCCCCCACACCCAGGGGCCCATCACTAGGACAGAGGGAGCCTCTGTCTGGCATGGTGCTCCGGGCTGGGTGCTCACAAATGTAGGGTTGTTGTCACTCAATGGAAGAGCAGGTGCTCCAATCAGAACCAAGAGGGTCCAGAGGACAGAGTCTTCCCTGGAGAACAGACACCCTGGTCCTAGGAAGCCAAACAGAGGGGTGCCCTCTCTGGTATCACACGTCTGCGTGACCCTCGGGAACAAGATGTCCTTCTAACCCAAGCACAAACATTTCACTCAGCAGTGCTTCCCACAAGGCCTCCTCTGGACCATCAGCTGAGGTCATGGTGGCTCTGCCCATCCCCCCACTGCCTCCAGCTCTGTACCCCCCTTCCCCCCCAAGCATATCACATGGTAATTATTCATGTGCCTCTCCCCCACAGCCCTGAACTCTGTGTCTGAGTCACTGCTAGCACAGCACAGGGGCTCAGCGGCTGCTGGCTGAATGGCTGAATGAATAATTCACAAGGGCCAGGTTTGCTCGTTGAAATGAAAGGGGACTTGGCTGGTCCCCTGAAGATCCGTGCCAAACCTCACCTGGGGGCCCAGACTGCGTAGGTCCCCCCAGGAGGCCTGAGGGTGCTGAGAGCAGGAGGGCGGCTGCTGGATGACACACGCCTGTTAACACAGCTGGTGTCAGTCGTGCTATTTTCAGCTGCTGACGCATCCGCTGGCTCCCGCTTTCTCCAGTCCCTGGGCCACGTGGGGTTCCGTGTTTTCATTCCATTTCAGAGCAGCTCACCCAAGAGTCTCTCACTGCCAATCACTGCAGGGTTTTCAGACAGTCAAAGCTGAAGGTTCAGAGGAGGCATTTGCCACGTTTGTTTTCAAATCTGATGGCCAAGTCACCGACTGTGGGTTAGACAGGCTCAAGGTCACCTTGTCCTGCCACCTCTCCAGTGCGCTGCCTTCTCTGCTGTTCTGTCTCCGCGGTGGGGCTGAGTCTAGACTGAGCTATCCACACTCTTATCACCTTATTCCCCTGGATGAAAAGCCCAGATCAGAGCTACAGACTGGACAGAAGCAGTTTAACCAGGAATTAAGGTGCAGACCAGACAGACTGGAGTTCAAGTCCTAGCTCCTACCCTTTACATCCATGTGACCTTGAGAAAATCACCACACTGAGCCTCAGTTTTTTCAACTGTAAAATGGGGATAATGGTAATACAGCTTCTAGAAAAGCTCAAGAGAACCGAACAGGTTAATACCCAGAAGACTCTCGGCACCGTAGCTATTCAATATGCGTTAGCCATTATTAGGATCGTTATCACTATTACTATTTAAAGGGAGGTGTGCCTTACCTGCACTGCACTGTCCTCAGGCAGTTATGAGGCAACTCAGCTCCGTAAAAATCACTCCTGCAGATGTCAGAAGTGACTATTTCATCTTCACGAGCAAATCCAGGTCTGGGAGATTTTCTGTTTCATCTGGTGCCAGGTACAGGTTAGCCAGCCAGGGCCCCGTTAGCGTTAGCACAGACCCCTGATACCTCCAAGTCAAACAGATTCCGAATCTCAGGCCGCCATTTCTGCATCGCGCACTCAGACGGTGACTTGGTGGGGTGGGGCACCCCTTCTGTTTGCTCCGCAGGAATTTGTGTCCCTGTGTCCTGAAGTATGAGGATAACTCAACAGAGCTTGCCTCCCTCGTCGAACTGAATAAGAAGTATCAGGTGAGGCGGGAAAGGGCTCTGAGCTGCACAGAGCTGCTGTGGGTGTGGTTGCTCAGGTTGGAGAGAGAATGTGCCTAAGTTATTGGGACCCCGACCGGGTGTGAGGTTACCTCTGACCAGTTTGCATATTTAAAGACACCCTGCAAGGCGGCGGGGACTGTGGTTCCATTTATCTTATCAGCCATAGAGCCAGGCCACCGAGCACGCACCACCAAGTCTCAGTTACTTCCAGTTGTCCATGGGGAATGGGTAGGAGCCTCTGACTCCCGGTGGGAAACTCTTTCCACCCAACGGAGTCTGGAAGATTCCGTGAGAGAACATGCATTCTCTGTGTCCCGTCCCCCCCGCCCCCAGGGGAACGGGTGTTATTGGGGAGCACGAGGAGAGAGTCAGCAGGTGGTCTCCAGACATCCTATGGGTCGTTCAGTTTAGGCCTTTCCCCATCAAAGCTTTGACCAGAGCAGCTGACTCCCTTGACTCTATCCCGTCTTCCCCCCCAATTTAAGTGTCCAGTCACTCCCAGACCGTGGAGAGTGGCCTGCAAACAGCGTCCACAGTGGGCTCGTCCTTCAAGTCCAAGGACTCCTTAGAGTAGAACCACTTCTCTGCAGACCCTTTCGGGAGAGCCACACCTGCCAGGGGTGTCAGGGCTCAGGAGAATGAATCCCTATCTGTCAGGCTCTGACGCCATCGCCCAGCAGTCTGGGTGACTGCCCACTGCACCTCCTCCTCCTCTGTGAGCAGGCGCCTGTGTCTCCAAGGCCCGCAGCAGGAGAGGGAAGGCAGCGGAGATTATGGCCAGGAGGGCAAACCTGGTCCAGGTGGGGTTCTTGGGTTCAAGCAACAAAAGCTTGTGTCATTCTGGTTAATTTAATCAGATTTATTATTTCATCCGAATATCAGAAAGAGCTAGAAAGGTAGGGTCAGAGGCCAAGCCACCAGAATCGTGGAATTTTAGGGACCAAACCATAAGAATCAAAATAGGCCAAAGAACTAGTCCCGGGAGACACCATGGACACCATGGATGCAGGTGCTACCCTCTGCAGAATGGAGCTTGTGTGCCTCCATCTTTCTGCCACTAGTTTCCAACCCCACGCCTGAGGCGGGAGCATCCATTGGGGACCCCCGGCACATGCCCTTGGCCTGGTTGTGAGGGGCATTGAGAAGCCAGTATTTGCCTTTCTTACCTCCTACAGTGAGCAGCAGGCTGCTGTCTAACAGAGGAGTTTCTCAAACATGGAAAGTGGGTTCAGCCCCACCGACGTGGCTCAGTGGTTGAGCGTCACACTATGATCCCGGAGGTCATGGTTCAATTCCTGGTCAGGGCACACGCCCAGGTTGCAGGCTCCATCCCCAGTAGGGAGCATGCGGGAGGTGGCTATCAATGATTCTCTCTCATCATTGTTGTCTCTATCTCTCTCTCCCTCTCCCTTTCTCCCTGAAATCAATAAAAATATATTTTTTTAAAAAGTGGGTTCAGATGCTGGGTAGACAAAAAGAAGAACAATTCACCAAAATTGCCTGCCCCGACCTTTCTAGATTGGCCAGCTGTTCCAGGCCTGATCTTGCTACCACTGAGACTCTAACTTAGTGTCCTGGAGGAACTCACAGCTCAGCCACCTGAGGCCCCCAGGCCCTCTCTCAGGACCCTTTCCCTCCCTACTTCCAGCAAAAGCGATGGGTTCCCGTCACTCTCCCTGGAGACGATCATTGCTATTAGTGCCACCTGGCGCCAGGCACGCTAGACACGGTTTCTTTCCTTTCTCGAGATGCATGGTGCCACTGTGAGCCATCGTGGTTGATCGTGGAGTAACCAGTAGCATTGGAAAGGGCTTCAGTGATGGTCCAGGTCTTGCCAAACATCCTCCACTTACAGATGAGGAAATAGAGGTCTAGAGAAGGAAAGCATCTTGCTGAAACCCACCAGCTAGCTAGTGGCATCGCACCCTCTGCCTTACTCGAGGCTCTGCTTGTAACCAGGAGACTCCCCTGGGAGGTCAAACTTGAGGCACTGCCAGTACAGGGCTCTCTTTCTGGCTGTCCCTGGGCAAAGAAAGTGCATAGTGTCTTCTGAAGTGACCACACGAATGTTCTCGGGTTTGCAAACCTGACCTCCCTCTGTAGCCAGGGTTTCGGCCCTGAATGGTGAGCACCTGGCAAGCAGTGAGACGGCAGTCTGGCAGGAGCGGGAGCCAGAACTGGGTTAATTGGTCCTCCTGGAACTGAGCCCAAGTGGAAGCTGCGAGAGGAACAGCTTCATTACCTTCCTGGACAGACCTGAGCGGCTCACAGGGGTGTGCAGGCACGGGAGCCCGCATGCTCACACACACCACGCACACGCTATATAAATAGGCGTTAAATGGCCTTGTGGACTCACCTTGGATTTTCTGAACAAATGTAGGACAGAAATAAAGTAGGTGTAAGGATTATCCCAACAAGTCATTTAATCAAATATGTACCCCTCCCCGGATTTTAAAATACATATTTTTTTATTGATTCCAGAGAGGAAGGGAAAGGGAGAGAGAGATAGAAACATCAATGATGAGAGAGAATCATTGACCAGCTGCCTCCTGCACACCCCACACTGGGGATCGAGCCCACAACCCGGGCATGTGCCCTGACCAGGAATTGACCCGTGCCCTCCTGTCTCATAGGTTGACACTCAACCACCGAGCCACACCAGCCGGGCCCTCTCCCCAAATTTTAGTCAAGAGCTTTACAAGAGGATCAAGCTGATGGACTTAGGTTTTTCCCTACATTCCAAGGTCAAATGTATGCAATGGCAGCAGAGGCTGAGGACAGGGGTTGAGATAAAGGCTGGTCTAAAAAATACCAGCTGACTCCTGATCAGTTGAGCTTTGGCTGCAGATCGGTTTTACTCCAAGTTCAGACACCGCTTCGTTCTGTGGCAGAGAAGATGTGGCACAAAGACGGAGCAGATGCAGCGAGCCCTGACCCCGTCCCGTTTGCCTCCCGCAGGAGCGGACGCACCAGCTGGTTGAGGGTGGGCGATACGACACAAGGGAAGATTTTACGGTGGTCGTGCAGCCGTTCTTCGAAAAAGTGGACCTGCCCAAGACCCCGGTAAAGAAAGCACGCACCGTGGAGAAATGGGGGGCACAGGTAGCGCCCAGCTGTGTCTGAGCATTATCTGTGCTGCCCGGCGTCCCCTAACACAGCCCCTCTTCTCTGCCCTGTGCCCAGGAGGGGCTGCCTGACAGCTCTTTCTTCGCTCCGGACTGTTTCCACTTCAGCAAGAAGTCTCATGCGCACTCGGGCAGTGCTCTCTGGAACAACATGGTAAGATGACCGAGGTCGGGAAAAGTGTCCTTCCTCTGCTAAGAAAAAGACTCCAGAAAGCTTTCTCGGGACCTCAGAGGCCCGTCCCTCAGGCCGTGTGAGTCCTGGCACAGCAACGATCGTAGATCCATGTCTTTGTCCCCACTCCCTTCTCCAGCCCTGACCCACGGCCTGACTTTTCCATTCTTACCACCTTTTTTCTCACTCCCTGCCTTCCTGCTTCTTGGTTTAGCTGGAACCTGTTGGCCAGAAGGCAAGATGGCATGATTTTGAAAGCAAGATCAATATCACATGTCCGAACAAGGTAAAGTAAAAGCACATTCTTGCGACGGCTCCATCTGAAGCATCTTTTCCAGCCTTTTAACGTCGCATGAAGGTTTCTCAGTTCATTGAACACCACAGCTCTGTTCGCCTACTCACACATCCCAGGCTCCGGGTAACCACCCACAGCGCCCTGTCTGGTTGGACTGTGATGGATAACAGCCCTGTGGCCAGGAGGCCCTAGATCAGTGATGGCGAACCTTTGGAGCTCGGCGTGTCAGCATTTTGAAAAACCCTAACTTAACTCTGGTGCCTTGTCACATATAGAAATTTTTTGATATTTGCAACCAGAGTAAAACAAAGATTTATATTTTTGTTATTTATTTTATATATTTAAATGCCATTTAACAAAGAAAAATCAACCAAAAAAATGAGTTCAAAATGAGTGTCATAGGTTCGCCATCACTGCCTTAGAGGGCTCCTCCATCTCTTCCTGGCACAGCGAGCCCTGGCACAGCCCTGGGCTACGAGCTGCTCTTTCCGGGCAGAACGAGGAACACACATCACCACCCAGCTCTCACTGGGAAGGCGAGGGGGTGGGGAGAAGGTCAAGGGCAGGATGGGACAGACATTAGCCAGGAAGGCAACGCGGATCAAGCCCCCATGCTCACTCACATATTGTTGGGAGATTCTTAGGCCTCTGCAGCTGCTCCCTCGCCTCTGTGAGCTCCTCTGTGTTCCCAGCGGGTCCCACTGAGCTGGGCTTGCATGAGGCAGGACCTCAGAGAGCCTGGCTTGTCTTGCCTGGGCAGGAAGGAGCCCAGGCTGCTGCAGGGTAGGAGTGGCAGGGGGTGGCAAGGGGGCCTAGGGCATAGAGACAGGGCTTGTATTAGAAGAGAGTGGTGCTCTGTTGGGAGGGGCAGGGTTGAGAAAGAGGTGACACAGCCGCCCAGCCAGCTGGGTGGGAGGTGAAGAGCAGACCTGGTCTTCCCAGGAGCAGGGTTTATTCTAATTGTTCCTGTGAGTTCAGGTTGGGTCAGGGCTGCAGAGAGGGCCCCAGTGCATCCTGGGAAGGAGCTCCAGGGTCAGCCTGGCAGGGAGGGGCTCACAGTGTGGAGCCGGGAGGCCACAGGTGTTTAAGTGTTTGTGCTGAGGTCAGCACCTCTTAGAGTGGGTGAGCAGGAAGCAAGCCGAATTCACCGTGGTTGTTCACTCCCCTCTTCTCACAGGACTCGCCGTTTCTGAGCACCTACAAGAACAGCGTGCAGGTATCTGCCTGTTGCTTTCTTTCATCTCACCAGCCAATGCATGGGGCAGCCCCTGAGCTGGGACTGGCCCAACAGGGTGGGTGAGAATAAGGGGTTCACACTCTTTTATAAAGTCCGTCCACCTACACCTCAGGCGGGGTGCAGGGTGGGGTAAGCTCCATCAATAGCAGCCCAGAATGGGCCCAGCCTGTCAAATCGCAGCGTCAGCAAAAACATAGGTGAAGACCCCATCCTCCCCATAAAGCTGCTTTAGAAGCGGGATGGGGGGTGGGGGGGTCATTTTGCTGATGCCCCCATTCTTGCATTAGTTGGTAGAGGGGTCTGCACTAGGTTAGCAGATCCCGGGAGTGGCTGATGTTCAGAATCACCTCGGGAGCCTTCTTCAATGCCCTTCTAGGCTCCTCCTTCTAGGCAGAGGGGGCAGGAGTCTGTGTTAAAGCTCTCTGCAGGTCTGACGCTCAGGTCCTTCCACCCCTGAGATTCACTCTATGCCCTTAGGGTCATGGGAGCCAGCTGCTGTGCGGGGACACAACCCCTTCGGCCTCACCGCCCACCTCAGGTGAGTCCTCGGCGATACGCCAGGACCCAGGGCTCTCCACAGATCGCAGGAGCCAATGAATGTTCTGACAGCATTTTCCATCGTAATTCAGTGCCTGCTTCCTGTCTGGGCGGTCGCCTGGGACAAGTCCCTGATTTGTCTCCCTCTGCCCTGTGACATGTCTCACCTGGCAGGCCCCAGGTGGCCAGGCCAGGAGCTGTTCGCTGCCCTTCCACGTCAGCCCCTTAACGGGAGCACAGGGAGGAGCCCTGTGACCTCCCATCCAGTGGCCTAGCCCGGTGGTCTGACCTCACTGAGGCCCAGAGGAGGGGCGAGGGGTGCCGCGGGAGTCCCAGGAGCGACCCAGCTCTATGAGTTGTCCTGGGGCTCCAGGCTCTGCGATCCCTGTTGCCTGCAGGGCTGCGAAGCTCCCTGGAGGCTTTAGAAGGCACTTGGGGGCACAGGAAGGCCTGATCTGATTATTTCTCAGTTGTTGTTGGAAATTCAGAACCAGCTCCAAATGGGCTGGGCATCAGGCCCTGAACTGCATCTCAGATGGCGCAGTGCCCATCTGGTTGTGCACTGGGGTCACAGCTGGTATTCCACAGGACAGCTGGCCCCACAGTGGTGGGATCCCGCCGTGCCTTCTCTCCCTCCCTCCCATCTTGCCTCCTTCCCCCACTCCCTCCCATCCTGCTTCCCTTCCTTCCTTCCTCCCATCCTTCCTTCCATTCCCTTTTCTTCCTCTCTCCCTGCACCTCTCCCTCCCATAGGTCCAGGATTCTTTATGGGGAAAGTCTGTCCTTATATAACCCCTGCCTCAGGGGGCATGGACCCTCAGTCCTGCGAGGCCCCAGCGCCCCTGCGCTGGCTTTCCTGATCTTTCTTAAAGAAGCACTAGACTCCGACTGCAGCTTCCTTCCCGCAGACTCAAGTGTGCCCACTTGTCTCTCCAGTGCACGCCCTGAGACCTGCAGATATCCGAGTTGTGGCCGCTCTGGGGGATTCTCTAACTGTAAGGACTCGGGCCCTGGGTGGCATGGGGGTGGCTGCATCAGCTCCCGGTGCCAGTGCCAACTCCGGGGCCTGCGCTCCTGACCCCTGCAGTGTCCCCCTCTCTGCTCTGGCCTTGTCCATCTAAGAACATGGCGATGGCTTGTTTCGCAGCCCCTTTCTCACTCGGGTGTGCAAAGGGAGGTCTTTTTCAGGAGTGAACTGAATTCTCTCAGGTAGTGGAGGGTTTAAACACCTAACTACACTTTTTTAACCATTGCAAAAATGCCACTGTGACTCAAAAAATCTCCTACACCTCCCCGTGTGGGTGCACTTCTCCTTTGGATGATGCTTTACAAGCAGCTCATACCCTTTCCTCTTTGCATCGCACGGAGAGCAGCAGCGGCTCCAGAGCTGTGGCTGAAGGCTGATCCTAAGTTCCGAGAAACAGGGCTCTACCATCCCAGAGGGCCGCGGTCAGGCAGCTCTTCTAAAGCCATGGGTTGCCTTACAGAAGGTCCCGGGCGGGAAGTGGGGGGGCGGGGGGAAGGAGAGAAGCGTAAAGTTCATGAGAAATCTGCCCACTGCAGCCCACCCGGATCTATGACCTCTTCTTTGTGCTTAGGGGGAACTCCGGAGCATGATGCCGATAGTAATACCGTAACCGTGTCTCCCATTCGTAAAGCACTTCAGAGGCTTTCAAACCGATTTTTACAACTCTGATCCCATTTGGTCATGAGCAGAGCCCTGTGAGATAAGCCAGCCAGGCCCTCCGTGCGATGAGGAGGCAGCTGCGGTTTGCAGGCCGCGAGCCCAGCTTTCCTGACACCCGTCCAGCGTTCTGCTCACGCGCGATGAGTGGGCTGGGAACCACCTGCACACCCGCAGCCTCCGCGCTCTCTCACTTGCTGATTTCCCTGGATTTTTGTGTGTTTCCTAAGGCTGGCAATGGAATTGGCTCCAAACCAGACGACCTTCCTGATGTCACCACCCAGTACCGGGGGCTGTCATATAGGTAATGTTAACCCTGACCCCCTCCCATCCCATGTTCACTCCCAGAGATGGGGGGAGAGGGGGGTGTCTGTCTCCTGTAAATGCATAAATACCAAAGAGCTGGGACCAGGTCTGGAAGGGGCTTTCAGAAGAAAAACCTCCATGTATGTCTGCCAAATGTGACCATGCGATGAGAAGAGAGATCTTTGACTGTTGGTGACCTTTCTTTTTCTTTTTCTTTTTAAATTGTGCAGAAAATGCAAACCAGGGTCCTTATCAGACTCCTGGCTCAGCAAATCCAACATGAAATGCACCCGAAAAACACCAGCTCTCTGAGTCTTCACCCACCCGTTTGCGTGTATATGTGCACCACGTCTCTGTTTACTGTCTATATGTATCCATTCGTGTCGGTCTGTAGTCGCACCTCTGCCTTTACGTGTATGTACACACCTATACAGAAAACTCCACAATGCACTACACTTCGGGAGGAAATGACCAAGACAAAATCACAGCCAACACACGTGGAATGAGGGGGCCGTATGGGGAACACAGGCAAATGCGTATGCTCATCCGGCAAGTGCTCTGTAGGAATAGAAGGTGGCCGAGTGCTACAGGGATGCAGAAGGGGGAATACCAACCTAGCTTCCCAGAGAAGGTGGGACCCCAGTCGTGTCTTGACAGATTAGCAATTAGGCAGGCGGAAAGGGAGAGAGAGAACTTTCCAGCCACAGAAGTAGAAGAGCAGGGGAGCGGTTAGATGTGGGCATTCTTAAGCTTCTTTCCTAATAAAGTTCGCACTGAAGCACGCTGCACAGTCATTGGCGATTAGCTCAGGATTCAGAGCAACTAGAACAAAGCCAGCCACGAGGGGGCAGAGTGCTAACGAGAAGCTGGGTGGCCCCGCGATGCGCTTGCCTCCTCCTCCCTTTCCTTCACAGTGAATTCAAATGATTCGCTTCTTCCGAGAAAGTGAGAGGGAACACTGGGGTGCTTAGGGTTGTGACAGTCCTCTGGTCAACCCTGAGGACAGTCTCAAGAGACAGGTTTGCCAGGTGAGAGAGGTGTCCCCACTCAGCCTGTAGCCACCCACAGAGAGGATCCAGGGTGTGGGTAGCATGAGGACATCACCCTGAGAGCTGAGGGAATCGCCTCCCAGCCCTGATGTCCCCTAGGTTCCCACATACCTCAGCCAGGTAAGTGGTCACTAGCAGGCTGCCTCGGAGCAAAACCGAGCCTCCCCTCCGGACCCCTGTGCCCCGAATGTTACTGAGGCTGCGAGAAACAGAAACACCCGAGGGAGAGGAAGGAAGCCGAGCTTATTCCAACCCGGAAAAAGTCGGAGGCTGTGGCAGCTGCATTTAGTCTTAGCCAACGGAGGCCATGGCCTCACATCCCAGTGTGGGAAACAGAAAATAGATGCGCCAGCCCCCGGGTGATGGAGACGCTGGGCCTGGCGTGCAGTCGGGGAAGGGAGGTGATCTGCCCAATTTTACAAGCCGTTGGACTGCACAGGTTCTGAGAGTCAGATACCCACAGGCCATCTTCTGCTAAACGTTCCTCTCTGCAGCAAGAGGAACAAGTGGCCCTTGTGTCGATTCTTCCTACAAGTGAGGTCCAGTAGGAACTCATGTTTGTCTTGGAGTTTTCATTCCAAGGCCTCATCTATTCAAGGGCTGCTAGCCCTTTAAACCCTTTGCTTGTTCTAAATGTTTCAAATACCTGCCCCAAGATCCCCATGTGTTAAAGATGAAGCTCTGGGTCAGAGTCTGAGAGACAGCTTGACACATGGTGGAATATATAGACTGTTCCCCAGAGTGTGTTCCAGGGAACACTAGCCCCAGCCACGTTCCTGAAGAGGGAAAAATGCTTTGTATTTTTGGGGAAACAATACCTACTATATCCTTCCTCTGGGGAATTCACATGCATGTTAGCATATTAAAGGCTCTGAGAATATCTACAATGAAGAAAATTTTTTAAAATTGTATCTATTTAATCCAGTGCTTCCTTAACCCCAGAATGCTTTCTTTGTTTGTATACCTATTAGCATCCCCTGGAAACTGTCCACATACTAGCCCAGCGATTTTTACCTGGTTTGCCGCAGAAATTTTAAAACATGCAACACCTGACTATTTTGTTAGGGGGACTGACTTCTTTTCCCTTAGATTGCCAGTCATCACTGTGAATGAATCAAATGTAAAATTATTTTTTGTCAGATCAGCCAAAATTATATTTTTTGGTGTGCTGAAGAATTTTAGTAATTAGCTTATGTGCGCCATAAGGTGAATAAAAGTTAAAGATCTCTGTACTAGACTAATCTGAGAAAAGCAATTCCCTGAAGTCAATAATGCTCCCAGATTGGAAATACTAGACAGTGAATGATCCTAGGAAAATTTAAAATGCAACTCGAGACTCTTCCTCCAAGGGAAGTGGACAGGGTGAGCCTCATGGAGTTGGACAGGGGAGAAGTAGACTCAGAATTCTTGGGAGGTGGGTGGCCATGAGCAAGAGGTTTGGCTGAGAATATTTCTGAGGCCCCTTGACCCGTGAGAATCATAGCTTCACGGTGTGGCAGGCCAGAGGTCTTTAGAGCATTGCCTTTTCTTCTGTTGAATTCAGTTTGCTTGTTGGACACCATTCAAAGGACCAAAATAAAATTTACTTACCAGAAAATGCATTTCTTTGTCTTGTTGATGAGTTCAGCCTCACATTACTGAAACTCCCTCGGCCAGTGTTACCGAGCATCTACCCTGCGTTTCCCTGCACGGTGCTGGCAGCAGAGGAGCAAGCCCAGCCGCTGAGCTCATGGTGTAATATTGAGCTCATGGTGTAATACCAATTACATGAGTCTGCAGTTCTCCTGTAGACTAGCTGTTCATATGGATCCGTTTTCGTTCCTGTTTCACATCGTTCTGATCAAAATGAGGGCTTAAACTTCCCGTTCCATATTTATTCGTATAATTCTCTCTTTCCTCCTGGAAATGTTCACTCTAAAATGGGCTCAGAGACAGAGAGAGAGAGAGAGATTTCCGTAGCCTATTGGTCTTGATCAGCTACAACACTTACTTTAGAACAAAGATACCTTTTACAGTAGGAAGTACTTGACCTGTGTGTTTATGTATGTCTCTGTTTATGTTTCCATGTTTATCGAAGGGAAAAAAGAAGCAGAGTGAGAACACAGTGATTAGAGAAAGTGCATGATTTATCGTTTTCTTGTAAGTGTGGCGTATTCTGATTTAGTGCTTTTAGTTCAAAGAAAGGAGGATCAGAAGCAGCTACAGCACAGCTTGGTGCAGAATTGGCAAAGAATCAGAAGCTCATACAAATGCCCAACCACCGGCCATGTTAGGTTCAGACATTTTTTGGGAGGTGGGAGAGAAAGACCTGAGTGAGGTGGAAGGGCGGGGCTCACCTGGCTCCTCTCTCTCCATGACCAGGGACTGCTGAGCATTTGGCTTAAGGAAGCCCTTGACCACCCTGGTATGAAGGAGTCAACTTCATGCCAAGCGTTCCTTGAGTAAAGGACAGCCATGACTTTGACTCATGGCCTGTGCTCTGGAAGCCTCTCCTAGTGGGCTAGATGCTAAACACTGTGTTTTCATGATCTATTGGTCTAGACCCGTGGTCGGCAAACTCATTAGTCAACAGAGCCACATATCAACAGTACAACGATTGAAATTTCTTTTGCGAGCCAAATTTTTTAAACTTAAACTATATAGGTAGGTACATTGTTATTAACTTAATTAGGGTCCTCCTAAGGCTTAGGAAGAGCCACACTCAAGGGGCCAAAGAGCCGCATTTGGCTCTCGAGCCGCAGTTTGCCGACCACGGGTCTAGACTAAGGCTGGGATTGAGGAGGGAAGTGCAGGAAAAAAACAACAACAGTAAATGCAGTACATCTGACCATTGGACTTTGTTAAAATAGGTATACTTCTCTCCTTCCCACGTATATTCAATTTTAATGCAGGAAAGGAAAGGAGATTTTGAGTGTGTCTTAGGGTTAGATTGAAGGCCAGGAAACTGTTAGATGAGATGAAATTAGACTAGTGTGAGATTGACCTCCACACTAGACAGAAAGTTTATCCATTTTCTGAAGGTTTCCAGCTCAAGCTGTTTTTTGTTACCTGTATGGGTTTTAGTAGCCGTTAGAAACGGAACCTTAGCTTTCTATTCTGTAAAATGGAAATAGTGGCATCTACCTCATAAGCTTGGGGAAATGTGAGATAACTCATGCAGAGAGTCGAGTTCCTGGCTGGACACATAGTAGATACTCAGCTAAGTTCTCTCCCTCTTGATTTGTTGGAGAGAAGAAATAGCTCTCTTTTGCCTTCAAATCCTGGATTTGGGGGGAACCAACCCATTGGGGAATTCAGATTTGCTCAGAATCCCTCAAACACAAAGAGACTGGTGGGTCCGGCACATCTGATGGCATGGCTGCTAAGAACAAACAAACATACTATGTACTGATGTGATCTCACTGGCTTACTCCCTACAGTTCAGGAGGAGACGGCTCCCTGGAGACCGTGACCACCTTGCCGAGTAAGTAACCACCAGGGGCTTGAGTCTGTCCACTCCCTGAATCTGACCCTCGGGTTTCTTGAGATGCTTCTCAGCTAAGAAAGGAGGAAGTGGCGTCTTCCTTTGACTGCTATTGACCTGGGAGGAGGGGCTTGTTGTCAAGTAAATACAATGAGAGTCCTGTCTGGGTAAGGGTCATTCTCTGGCCAACATAAATGAATTATGATCGTTTTTAGACACATTATTTGGAACTCCACGAACCTGCCTGATCTAACAGAGCTCTCTGCGGAACAGCAATGACGCTGTTAACTTGTGCTGCCATTGCTCTTTATATATTTTTTTTTTATTGATTTTTTACAGAGAGGAAGGGAGAGGGATAGAGAGTTAGTAACATCGATGAGAGAGAAACATCGATCAGCTGCCTCCTGCACACCTGCAACCAAGGCACATGCCCTTGACCGGAATCGAACCCGGGACCAATCAGTCTGTAGGCCAACGCTCAATCCACTGAGCCAAACTGGTTAGGGCACCATTGCTCCTTTCTCAGCTCTGCCTTCTGCATTCCTAACGAATGCTTCTGTTGCTTCAAAGCACCTGGGACAGAAAAAGGCTGTATAAGTGAGGCATGTATTAAATTTTAAATGGAGATAATCTATGCATAACCAAACACTGAATTAATATTCTGTAAAAAATAAAGAAATGAGAGGAGAGGCATGTGGACAGGCGGCTTGCGGGGGTGGAATAAACACTGTCATTGAAGCCCAGAGACATGGGGTCAAGCCCTGTCCTTTCTATGTGTTTGCCAAGTGACCAAGGGCAAGTCACCAAACATTCTGAGCCTCCATTTCTCCAACTGGCCCAGAGTGTGAGGAGACAAGCAAATGGGACAGTGAGGATTCTCTGAGCAATTCTCTGGGAATTGTAAAGAAAATAAAAAGAGAGAGAGAGAGCTGGGAGGCCCTTGCTGTCTTGGCCCATCCTGTCCTCTCCCCGGGCTGTGTGAGAATGGTAGCGCAGCCCACTTTGGCGGCCCTAGACCGGAGGAGACCCCTGGCCTTCCATCCTAAGCTCTGTGCCCCATTCTCCCCCTCCTCTTGCAGATATCCTTCGGAAGTTCAACAGATATCTCACAGGCTATGCACTGGGCACAGGCGATGCCAATGACACCAACGCGTTCCTCAATCAGGCTGTTCCGGGCGCGAAGGCTGAGTACGCATTTGGGGGGGAATAGGAGGTGTGGGAGGCACCCCCTTTCAGGGTAATACTGCCCTGTGTGTGCAAAGGGGGCATTTATGCACGTGCAGCAGGGACTTGGGAGGCTCTCAGCGCTCCCTTCCCTGGCCGCCCTGTGACTCGTAGAGAGGCTGGAGCTGGGGCAGGTCCCATGCTCCGAGGGCTGACCCCATGACCTTACTCCTGGGCAGCATGTTCTCGTCATTGGACTAACTGACCAGCCTTAGCCAACGTTTTAAACTCCCCATGGCATGATGGCGCTAGAGAGGCTCACTCTCCCCAAAGCCTGACCAGTGGCAGTTCCCCCAAAGGGGGGCCGAGCAAAGGGATGGGCAAGCCAGAGCCTCCTTCCTCCGAGGCCTCGGGGCAACAAGTCACGGCCTGTCACTAGCCGCTGTGGAGCTGACAGGAAGTGCCGCTGAGAAGCCGGAGGCAGCAGAAGCAGAAGTGCTCGGCCTCCCAGGACCATCTCCCAAGGAGCAGCCTGGGTTCCCTTGTTTCGGCCCCGGCGGCTGCGCTTTTGTCACACCGTCATCTTCTTACTGACGCCCATGCCCTCAGGTTGATGGGCACAGCCCCGGACCTGTTTCCTGAGCCTGGGAAATGGGAATAGGGGCAGACGGACCCATCCTCGGGTCCCAGGAGATCACCGTGCTGTGGATCCATCCCACAGGTCCCTGATCTCGTGGGAGCTCGGATTGCCCGGGATCCAGTCCTTTCGTAAATTATAAGCCCGCACCCGTGTGCAGTGTGGTTTATTCCCCTTTTATTTCTAAAAGCATTTAGATAAGTTTATTTTTTTAAAATAATGTATACTTAAGAGAAAAACCACAGCCACTGGGGGAGAGGAAACCACTCGTCAGGAGGAGCATTTTATCGTTCCTGGGCCTGAGCATCACACTGTGAGCTTCCCGGCAGCCAGGGCAAAAAGAGGAAGCGTGCCGGGGTGGAATAAACACTGTCATTGAAGCCCAGAGACGTGGGGTCAAGCCCTGTCCTTTCTATGTGTTTGCCAAGTGACCAAGGGCAAGTCACCAAACATTCTGAGCCTCCATTTCTCCAACTGGCCCAGAGTGTGAGGAGACAAGCAAATGGGACAGTGAGGATTCTCTGAGCAATTCTCTGGGAATTGTAAAGAAAATAAAAAGAGAGAGAGAGAGCTGGGAGGCCCTTGCTGTCTTGGCCCATCCTGTCCTCTCCCCGGGCTGTGTGAGAATGGTAGCGCAGCCCACTTTGGCGGCCCTAGACCGGAGGAGACCCCTGGCCTTCCATCCTAAGCTCTGTGCCCCATTCTCCCCCTCCTCTTGCAGATATCCTTCGGAAGTTCAACAGATATCTCACAGGCTATGCACTGGGCACAGGCGATGCCAATGACACCAACGCGTTCCTCAATCAGGCTGTTCCGGGCGCGAAGGCTGAGTACGCATTTGGGGGGGAATAGGAGGTGTGGGAGGCACCCCCTTTCAGGGTAATACTGCCCTGTGTGTGCAAAGGGGGCATTTATGCACGTGCAGCAGGGACTTGGGAGGCTCTCAGCGCTCCCTTCCCTGGCCGCCCTGTGACTCGTAGAGAGGCTGGAGCTGGGGCAGGTCCCATGCTCCGAGGGCTGACCCCATGACCTTACTCCTGGGCAGCATGTTCTCGTCATTGGACTAACTGACCAGCCTTAGCCAACGTTTTAAACTCCCCATGGCGTGATGGCGCTAGAGAGGCTCACTCTCCCCAAAGCCTGACCAGTGGCAGTTCCCCCAAAGGGGGGCCGAGCAAAGGGATGGGCAAGCCAGAGCCTCCTTCCTCCGAGGCCTCGGGGCAACAAGTCACGGCCTGTCACTAGGGCCTGTCACTAGCCGCTGCGGAGCTGACAGGAAGTGCCGCTGAGAAGCCGGAGGCAGCAGAAGCAGAAGTGCTCGGCCTCCCAGGACCATCTCCCAAGGAGCAGCCTGGGTTCCCTTGTTTCGGCCCCGGCGGCTGCGCTTTTGTCACACCGTCATCTTCTTACTGACGCCCATGCCCTCGGGTTGATGGGCACAGCCCCGGACCTGTTTCCTGAGCCTGGGAAATGGGAATAGGGGCAGACGGATCCACCCTCGGGTCCCAGGAGATCACGGTGCTGTGGATCCATCCCACAGGGCCCTGAACTCGTGGGAGCTCGGGATGCCCGGGATCCAGTCCTTTCGTAAATTATAAGCCCGCACCCGTGTGCAGTGTGGTTTATTCCCCTTTTATTTCTAAAAGCATTTAGATAAGTTTATTTTTTTAAAATAATGTATACTTAAGAGAAAAACCACAGCCACTGGGGGAGAGGAAACCACTCGTCAGGAGGAGCATTTTATCGTTCCTGGGCCTGAGCATCACACTGTGAGCTTCCCGGCAGCCAGGGCAAAAAGAGGAAGCGTGCCAAGCTCCAAAGATCTAATTTCAGGAGCTCAACCAGTCCTCCAAAGGCGACACGTTGTTTCCTAGCGTGGAATCCTAAAAGGCGCTTTGCATGCGTGGTTCTAGAAAGGAGATGATGAGTAACAATCATAATTGGCAGTTCCTTTGACTACCGCTTTAGGACAAACACTCCATTGGCTTTTCAAAGGGTTATCGGTTGTGATAACTCTCCAGAACAGGCAAGGAGCTCCTGTCCCTGAGCCACGGGGCCTCTGCCAGCTCACACAGTGGGGCTCCTGCCCTGGGAACCTCCAGGACAGGCCCTTCAGGAGGGAAAACCCAGGCACTGTTCCTGAACAGGACCCATTTCCTCTCCTTTTCAGGGAACTTACAAGCCAAGTCCAGACTCTGGTGCAGCGGATGAAAGATGATCACGTGAGTCCGATTTAGGGTTACTTTTAAACACTAATTTCCTAACCCACGAAAGTCCCCAAACGGACTGGTCTGCTATGAAAACAGTGAGCCCCCAGTCACTAGAGGCATTCAAGCAGCGGTAGGGTGGCCCTCGTTGGACACCCTTCAGAGGAGATCGTGTCAATGGGGAGAGGTTTGTGGCTGATCACCATGACCTTGAACGTCCCTCCTGATGCTAAGATTCTGTGATCTATAAATAAACACCTAAAATCCCTTCAGCTCTGCGATTCTGGTTTTATTATTTCAAGCCGACAAGGAAGTCTTAGCGCTGTGGTGTTTTGCATTTGTTTGTTGGAAATCATCAAGCATTTTCCTCCCTCTGTGCAGAGAGTAAATTTCCATGAGGACTGGAAGGTCATCACGGTGCTGATTGGAGGCAGTGACTTATGTGACTACTGCACAGATTCGGTAACCGGGGCCGGGCCTGCTCATGGCTCCTGACTTCGACCTGTAGGCTTGGGAGCTCCTCTTGGAGGACGATCCCTAGAATCGACCCTCAGGTTGCACAATCACACCTGTGTGTGTGCACGGGTACACTCCTTACCCCATGACCCTGAGGTTTCTGGCTGCACCTCCATGTCCCAGGTCGTGTGAGGGTAGCAGGTGGCAGATCGATGGTGCTTCTACCCCGCCCCCCTTTCAATTCCTGAGAATTCAGAAAGAAAAAGACTGGAACCCCCAAGCAGTTAGAAGGAGGACTCTCTATTTCTGCCCCTGAACGCAAGCTCTGGCTGAAGGTTTCAGCCTTCTGCTGGCTCATCTTTGATAACAGCGACTGCTCATCTCAGATTCCGCCAACGATGAGCTGGTGACAGCTGGAGGCCAGAGGGAGAACAAGTCCTTGGGGCTGGAGCCGAGGGGGGCCTTCACCTCCCCCCCAGACAATCACACCTGTGTGTGTGCACGGGTACACTCCTTACCCCATGACCCTGAGGTTTCTGGCTGCACCTCCATGTCCCAGGTCGTGTGAGGGTAGCAGGTGGCAGATCGATGGTGCTTCTACCCCGCCCCCCTTTCAATTCCTGAGAATTCAGAAAGAAAAAGACTGGAACCCCCAAGCAGTTAGAAGGAGGACTCTCTATTTCTGCCCCTGGCTGAAGGTTTCAGCCTTCTGCTGGCCCATCTTTGATAACAGCGACTGCTCATCTCAGATTCCGACAATGATGAGCTGGTGACAGCTGGAGGCCAGAGGGAGAACAAGTCCTTGGGGCTGGAGCCGAGGGGGGCCTTCACCTCCCCCCCAGCCCTCTCCTCTTAACCAGCTCCTCCTCTCCCAGCGTTTTGTGTAACTGCGTGCTGACCCCTCGGGAGAACTCCCCGGAGCTGGCCAGGTTGGAAGCCATCACCAGAGCCTACCAGGTGAGACAAGAAGGCACCATTTGGTGTGTTGTCCCCACACTCACTGAACACACCAGCCCAGAGCCCCCGAGGGGAGGGAGGCACACAGGGGAGAGAAGAGCTGTTCAGGGTTTGAGGGGGGACTTCACCATCGAGGCCCCTTCCTCCGCCCCACCTGGCTGAGGCGTCTCAGGCACCTGGTTCGAGTCGGTCCAAAGGAGTCTAGGTGACAAAGCCCCATGGCCCAACGCTTGGCCTGAGGAGGACAAAAGCCTTGGATGCCCCATGGGACCCCCTTCTACTCCCCTGCACCTGGGGGCCCAGCTGCCCCCTCACCTCCTCAACAGGTGGAGCGGCTGCAGGTCCCCAGCCTGGGGGCTCTTTGGAGACTCTTCCTAGGCTTCTATTCCTTGTGGGACTTTCTGCCTGGCCCTTCAGAGCTTGCAGTTCACTTAGAAGCAAAACAAAAAGGTGGCCCAACCTGTTTCCAATTCTCTGGAAAGAGCTTTGCCCTACACTGGGCTTTCACCTGGGATCCTGCCGGCCATGCGCCCACATGGCTGCAGTGTGAAGGGTGCCCCCTGGGATGGGAAGAGGTGGCAGACCCAAGTGTAAATGCTGCGAGTTCAGCTCCATTCAGCCATCAGTTAGTGAACCCAAATCTGTCAGCTTTAGTGGGAGAGGTACCTTTGACCATTTCTCTCTAGCCCAGTGGTTCTCTGGGTTGCACATTAGAATCACCTGGGAATCTTTTTAAAATCCTGATTTCTGGGCCTCATCCTCTGGAAATTCTGTTTCTTTGTTACTAATGTTGTGGCCCCACCCCATAACAAAGAAACAGAATTTCCGGAGGATGAGGCCCCGAAATCAGGATTTTAAAAAGATTCCCAGGTGATTCTAATGTGCAACCCAGAGAACCACTGGGCTAGAGAGAAATGGTCAAAGGTACCTCTCCCACTAAAGCTGACAGATTTGGGTTCACTAACTGATGGCTGAATGGAGCTGAACTCGCAGCATTTACACTTGGGTCTGCCACCTCTTCCCATCCCAGGGGGCACCCTTCACACTGCAGCCATGTGGGCGCATGGCCGGCAGGATCCCAGGTGAAGCCCAGTGTGGGTGCTTCCCCGAACTCCACTCAGCAGCTGGAGGGAGGAGCCCCTGGAGCCCCTCTCTTACCCACGGTCTTGTCCTCAGGTGCCCAGGGCCCTGGTCAACCTTGTGGACTTCATGAGCCCCAGTGTCATGCGGCAGGTGTTCCTGGGAAACCCAGACAAGTGCCCAGTGCAGCAGGCCAGGTAGGCAGTGCTGGCTGCCCTCGGCTGCAGGCGCGCTCACCCCTGGTCTGGCTCATGCAGCGGTAACTCCTTTGGGTCTTTGTGACTTGGCCTGTTCATGTGCCCAAGTCTGTAAAGGGGGCTTTGTGCCAGGACCACCCCTTTTTGGGAGGTTGGAGCCATGACTCACCCCTTATCCAACCTCAGGGTATCAGCAGGGTATCTGTGATATGGGGGAACCCCAGGGGAGAGGCCAGCTGGGGCAAAGGCTAGTGCTTGAGAGACGGGGTGCCCCAGCCTATGGGGGGACAGCATGGGATGGTGAAACTGAAGCAGAAGATACCTTATATGTTCACTTATTTATGTAACAAGTACTTTTACAGAACTTCCTGTGAACTAGGCACTGTCCTGAGTGCTTTAGAGATAGTATCTCTCTCTTTTTTAAAAATTGATTTCAGAAAGGAAGGGAGAGGGAGAGAGAGAGATAGAAACATCAGTGATGAGAGAGAATCATTGATCAGCTGC